CGTATCCATTGTATTAGCCTGTATCTTTTTATAGGCAAGTTAAGACCATTGACATTGAGTGATATTAATGACCATTGATTGTTGATTCTTGTTTGTTTTGGATTTGTTGGTGGTGGTCTTATTATGTGTGGATTTTCCCCCTGTTTTCTTTTGGTGTTTGGTAAAGTGGGATTATCTATTGCTTATGGTTTTTGAGTGTAGTTTATCTTTGTTGCATTGGTGTTTTCCTTGCAGTAATTTCTGTAGGGCTAGATTCGTGCATATATGTTGCTTAAATCTGGTTTTGTCATGGAATATCTTTTTTCTCCATCTATCGTGATTGAAAGCTTTGCTGGACATAGTAGTCTGGGATGGCATCCATGTTCCCTTAGCTTTTTTAGAACAGCTCTCCAGGATCTTCTGGCTTTCAAAGTTTCCATTGAGAAGTCAGGTGTAATTCGATAGGTCTGCCTTTATGTTACTTGGCCTTTTTCTTTTGCTGCTCTTAGTATTTTTTCTTTATTGTGTAAGTTTGGTGTTATGATTATTATGTGGTGAGGGGACTTTTTTGTGGTCCAATCTATTTGTTGTTCTGTAAGTTTCTTTTACTTTCATAGGCATATCCTTTTTTAGGTTGGAAGTTTCCTTCTATGATTTTATTAAATAGGTTTTCTGTACCTTTGAGCTGGTTTCTTCACCTTCTTCTATCCCTATTATTCTTAGGTTTGTTCTTTTTGGTGTCCCATATTTCCTGGATATTTTGTGTTAGGGATTTGTTGGACTTGAGATTTTCTTTGGTCTATTTTCTTTGGTCTTCAACACCTGAGATTTTCTCTTCCATCTCTTGTATTTTATTGGTTATACTTAGATCAGTGGTTCCTGATTGTTTACCCAGCTTTTCTATTTCCAGCATCCCCTCATTCTGTGTTTTCCTTATTGTCTCTGATTCTGCTTTCAAACTGTGAAGTGTTTGAGTTGTTTCCTTTACTTATTTGGTTGTTTTTTCGTGACTTTCTTTCGATTCTTTAAGAGATTTGTTTATTTCTTGAATTTTTTGGTTTATTTTTCCTCCATTTCATGTAACTTTTTGTTTGTTTTTTCTTCTATTTCTTTAAGGGATTTTCTTGTTTCCTCTTTAATGGTCTCTATTATCTTCATAAGAAAAATTTTAAGGTTCATCTCTTCTTCATCCTCTGTGTTGGGCTTCTCAGCTCTTGCTGGTGTGGAGTCACTAGATTCTGGTGGTGTCATATTGGTCTTTCTGTTGTCAAGTGTGTTCTTATTCTGTCATCTTCCCATCCCTTCTTCCAGTGGGTGCAGGTGGGGTCTCTCTCTCTCTCTTCTAGTCTCCTCAAGCAAAGGGCAGAGGGCAGTGGGAGAACCAAGAGTGAGGTGTGTCTGGACTCAGAGTGGACCTTCCGGTCTGGGTGGGTCCACGCTACTCTAGGAGCATGCTCAGAAAGAAGCTAGGAGGATGTAGTGGGGGAAGTTTGGGGCATAGTGGCACTCAGACTCACCTCAGGTGGCAGGCAGAGGGCAGGCAGAGGGCAGAGGGCAGAGATGTTTTTTGTCTTTAGAACATTTGCTTTCGATGTGTGTATGTTCACATGTGTATTTATGTTTCTGTGTGGGTTATTGTGAATGTGTTGTTCTTTTGCTAAGGCCAAAAATGAGCAACTTAATGATGCACACACATGGCAAGTGCAAACTAACTATTATGGATTCAGGGGGAAACTTTTTTTACTTTTAAGATGGTTATAGTATTAATTACAGTTGTAACATCTGTTATACATACTTATTTTTGTGTGTGTGTGTGTGTGTGTGTGTGTGTGTGTGTGTGTGTGTGTGTGTGTGTGTGTGTGTGTATTCATACACTTGGTGGAAAATGTGTACGGTTTTTGTGGGAAGGCACAAATGTATGCAGCTGCTCTTGCATATTTGTGCACCTGCATGAGGAGCCAAATGTCAGTGTCTGGAGAATTTCTGACTTAGTCTTGTCTTCTTTTGAGACAGCATTTCTCAGCAAACTCAGGACTCACCAATTGGCTAGACCACTGGCCATTGGACTGAGGATCTGCCTGACTCTTCTAACCCTGGGTTTGGGCAGTAGACATACACCTGGCTTTTGGGCTTCTTAGGATTTGAACTCATGCTCTAATGCAGCAGATGCTTTCCCAGCTGAATCATCTCAGCCCCATGCATTGTTTTGTAGTTCTAGTATGCCGAGAATGTCAATAACAAACATATATTCAATGTTGTTGATATGTCATCTCTTTCTATGGAAATTACCTCTTGATTATCATTCCTTTTCAGTCAGTTAATATGGTCCATTGTGTCTACAGATTTTTCTGAAAGTTTAGTCCCATTTTCATTTCATTGACAAACCTTACTTCTTCTTAATATATTATTGGTTTTTTATATTGATATTCATTCTTTCAAAACATTAAGATGTCTTGGCATTTAGAGTTCTGCAAGCTATTACTTGCTGCTAGCTTTCCTTCCAACCTTCTTTTCTAATTATAGTGCCAGGGTAAGGAAAACCTCTTGAAATAGCTGGAAACGACTCTCTTTGCTTCACTTCTATCAAAGGCATTGTGTAATTATAGATGCTTTGGTATTTGGGAGATTTCAGTAGTGAAATTATCTGGTTATGGATTTTGTTTATTTGAAAGTATAACCAACAAATGCTATTTTACTAGCCCAATCTTTCTAACACTTGTTTTCAAACAGTCTGTCTATTGAATCTATTGAAGTGATATTATTATTATGGAATTATTTCCTAGTGACTCATTTAAGAGATGCAGGATACTGTTAGGTGTTGTGGTGCACATTGGTAATTGCTGTAGGCAGTAACACTGAGGCTGAAGGATCACTGTGACTTCCAGGCCAGCCTGGTATATAGTGCCAATCCTCATCTCAACACAAAGTGATGCTTCTTTATATGTCTCAGTCTCTACTGAATTATTTGGCCAGCCTTTCAGCTCTGATAAGCTTGGCTAGAGGTGTCATTTGATAATTTCCTGGAGGAATCAAGCCCTGGGTTTATTGACTTTATTTATTTATTTATTTATTTATTTATTTATTTATATTAGATCGAATTAGAAACAAGACTGTTTTACAAGTCAATCTCTGTTCCCTCTACCTCCCCTTCTTACCCACATGCTACCAACCCCCCACCCCAATCCTCCTCTTCTCCCCAGGAAGGGTAAGGCCCTCCATGGGGGATCCCCAAAGTCTGTATCATCCTAGGCAGGGCCATTACCATATACTCTTGATTTAAAAGAAAAGTACTTCTAATATTTCTTGTATCATTAGCCATTAATTATATTGGTTTCTTTACTTGTGAATAACCTTATTTTAACTAAGTACATAAAAATACTTTTGTTATTGATAACATTTTAAATTTAGAGGCTTGAGCCATGGCTTAGTGGTTGTGAGTACCTTTCTTGAAGAGGGCTGGAGTTGTGCTCCAATGACCTGTACCCACTGCCACCTGAAATTTCATCTCTGAGAACCTGACTCCCTCTTCTGATCTCTGTGGGCAATGTACATAGGCACATATTTACATATATAAAAATAAAACATACTTTAAAAGAATTTTAAATATAGAGCTTTTTAAAATTTCACTGACAATTTAAAGATGTTGCTTTATACTTTTTCTATTTTTCCCAGTGTTAAAAAACAATCAGTTACCATGGTCATAAGATTTCCTCAGTATAATGTTCTTTTCTCCTAGACCATTGGATTTTTCTCATTCTTATTTAAATCAATGTATCACATGTCTCTGTAAAACTTGTGTATCCTTTTTTAGTCTTAAGTCCATTAAGTTTGATGCTGATACAGCAAAATAGATGAATTAAATAAACCTTGAAAGTTTATGAGTTCAGGGCTTTGATGGGCACCCATTTGGTCTGCACTCAGTCTACACAAAGTACATGCATGGTTTTCTTATCACCATCTGGGTATAGAGTATCTTGATATGGTTTTCACTGTAGCTTGTTAATGTCTCCTAGAACATTATTCTTCATAAGAGTCTCTATTTTTTTCTAAGACATTACATAGACTGTTGAAAATTTTTTTATTAAATTCTAGAGACATCAAAAGTCTGGATACTTTAATCAGTATTCTCATTGCTGTGACCAAGAGCATGTTTTTTTATTTGTTTTTGGTTGTCCTTATGACACAAATCTAAAACATGTTTTCCTGATAAATTTGGTAAATTTGATTCTATTCAAAAAAGAGAAGGGTATCTGTTTTCAATCTGTATGAATATTAGAAATCAGTTGCTTTTTGTGCTGTTTTATCAAGTTCCTCTATTCACAGTCATTTTGGGCTTCTATTCCTTACTTTCCAGGTAGCCATTACAATTGGTTTGTGATATCAGACTTTTTTAATAATTTAATTTTGATAGAATCTGTTGTCATGTACTGAGCTTGTAAGTATGTAGAGGCACTAGGAGCTGTGCCTGTTGACCTGAGTTCAAACCCTGAGACCCACATGATGGAAGGAGACACCTGAATTATATCCTCTGAATTCTACCCATGCACCATGGCATACAAAACTTTATAAAATATTCTTAAGTGTCATGTACTATAGATATTTCTTTTCATTATCTAACTTACACAATAATTACTTTACATAGCATGTCACATATCTATTTTTTAGACATTAGTTTCTTCATTAGTTTGATAGATTTATGGCTTGCATGAATTAAAAGACACTGCTGCAGATGTAGACATAAATTTTTCAGTACTTGAAAAGCCATAATTCTCTCTCATTTAAAAAATGGCAGAGGTAATCTCCATCACCTCAGATAATTCATTATTTATAAAAGTGTTCTGTGGAGCAGAAAATAACTATTTCAGGGCATACCACTTAGGAGGCAGAAGATGTCATAGTGCACAAAACCATATAAATTTATCAGTATATTGACATGTTGCATTGCAACTCAAACTCCTTCTGTCATTGCTTCTTACTGGACAATAGTCTCAGAACCATTATTTAAATATGTCATTTTTCAGCAAGTTTTTGGAGAAAAGGATATAATGACCGGAAAAGATGACAACCATATCATTCAGTTCATTTGCCATCGGCAGACAATCGGAACTGTTTGTAATAATCTACTGACACTGCTATTCGGATATAATCCCCAAAATTTAAATGAGGTATGTGTGATTTTTGTCTTCAGGTCAGTGTTTTTTAGTAGTGATTACTAATGCTATCATCTTATTATTAGGTAGACATTAAAAATACAAAGTAATTGCTCATAATATAGAACAACTTAACTGACATAATATGAATAGCTCATTTTATAAAATTTGGCACAGTTTGCATATAATTTCAAAGTTATGAATATGGCCATAAAATCCATCTATTGTATATATGGATGAACTAATATTTTTCTCTTATTTCTTTTCAATAATCACATTAAGATTAAGACTTCTTTCCAGAAAAAAGTTTATCTCCATCACATACTATCATATATAAAACAAACAAAAACACTTAATTTCCTTGCTGTGGTCAAAATCCAATCTTTCTTTTTAATTGATTCAGTAAAGATTTGATCATAAAAGTCACACAGTTCTGCAATACTATTTTAAACTCTCATACTCTTAGAAAGACACTATCCCGCTCTCATTCACCCAGCTCTCTCTCCCTACCCTCATGCTCCCAATTAGCTCAGGAAATCCTGCCCCTTCCCTTCTCCTGGGGTCCATGCATTCCTCTCTTAGAGTCCTTCTTGTTTCCTAGTTCCTTTGGTGATGAGGATTGTAGGCTGCTAATCCTTTGCTCTAGGTCTAAAATTCACATATGAATGAGATGGGGAGGAGAGGCAGGGAGAAGAGGAAAAAGAGTATCAGGAAGGTTGGGTCAGGGAAGAATAGAGGGGGGATGAGATGGGGGACTAGTGGGGCATTAGGGGAAGGGGAAGGAGAGGGAGAGAGGACTGAGATGTGAAGCCACCTTGTTTCTAATTTTAACTAATAAAAAAATAATCTCTTGGAAAAATAAAGAAAGACACTAACCATGTTTTGCTATTTCCCAGAGTCGTATTGATGTGTATGCTGGGCAAATTCCGGCAGGAACTTCAGTTAGGAGTATACTTCATTTTGCTCAGGTAAACTTTTTCTGTACTTCAATTCCTTTTCTCTTTTGCTTGAAATCTTCCCTCCTTGATGGGTTGTGTCAATACTCTATCTTGTGATGATGATGATGATGATGATGATGATGATGATGAGAGTAGATAGTAACAATGATATCTCTGATGCCAAGAGGAGAATCACTGCTCTGTGCAGAAATTTTCATTGTGAAAAGGATTTTTTCCATTCTTATGTCTTCTTCTAAGCAGTAACTTTTATTTTAAAACTTGTAAATTTTCTTGGTGATCTGAGGAAGCTGGCCTCCAGGAGAACTGAGGTTATAAACCCAGCCCAGTCCAGAAGCTTTTGACCATAGAGGGTAGAGATGATTGGTGCTAGAGCAGGATATCACAGATAGGATGACTGAACATTGTGTTATCTAAACAAGAAAATATATTTAAATTTAAAAACATAGAAAACTAGTATAAACCTTGTTACATAAAATTAATACTGATTTATAAATATCAGGTATTAGTGAAAGGTAGAAATTTTAGGTGCCTTTGAGGTATAAGCATAAATTGTGAATCATTTCCTTCATACATTTTAATATCTCCATGACAACAAAGAGGAATTAAGTTGAAAAAGGCCTTACCCTACCAAGGCCATTGCCAGGATGTGAGACAGTACCTATGATCAGGATGTATATCCTCTTATTTGGAATTTCTTCTTCATTCATGGGTATTCATTTTTTTATAATTCATGTCTGAGCTATATTATTCATTTTGCTCTGGACTCACGGGTATGAAGTTTCTGGCTCAATTGGGCAATAACCATAAGAGTGACATGTGTCAGATTTTAACAGGTATTTTGAACTCTTATCTTGACTGGAGAAATCTGTTAATCACATCTCTGTCCTCCCAGCATTCGAACACTGTGAAAAAGTCAGTGTACACATGTCTGAAGACTAGACTGCTATGAAGCCCTCATTCCTCATTGTTTTTCTAGAGCTAAAGCAATTGGGTTTTCAAAAAACAGTGTTATTATTTGACAAAATTACCTTCGTCATAGGAATCATTGGAAATATTTTACACAAAATAAATTCTAAGTGAATGAGAAATAGTTCAATTGTAATTTATTTCTGATAGAAATGATACTTTGTAACAGGTGTTGAAGTCAATTAAATTTTATTTTTAAAATGTTTTTTCCATAGACATCAAAATATTACCTCATTTCTTAATGTATAGCTTTATTGATGTGCATTTACATAATTTAAAAGGGTGTGTGTGTGTGTGTGTGTGTGTGTGTGTGTGTGTGTGTGTGTGTGTGTGTGTACCTGTGTGAATGTTCTTGTATGATGGTGGACAGATTGTGTGTCAGTGTCTTGGATAATGTATGCGCTTGCATGTGGTTACCAGAGAATATCCCTGAGTGTTGTTTTAAGACACTATGCAACTGCTTTCTGAGATTTCTCTCAATGTTCTGAAACTGTCTGGGGAGCTTAGGCTTTCTGTGGAAGGCTCCAGGAATCTGTTTCTCTGCCTTCTGAGCATTAGGATTTCAGGTAAAAACTACCACTATCTGGTTTTTCATTCAGGGTTGTGGCAACTAAATTTAGGTCCTGGTGCCTTCAAAGCAGACATTATACTAACTAAGATTATTCTCCAGTTCTAAAATATTTTCCTTTTAACTATTATTTACAGTTTGAATTCTATGTATAGTACTAAATTTAAATATTGTGAAGTTTAATGTTATAACAAGTTTACATTATAAAATACCTTGTGCAACACTCATCCCTTATGAAATCATAATACTAAAATTTTCACATTTCAGTGTCTTCCTACATGTGATAATATCATACATAAGTACTACTATATATATTTTGTTTTGTTTGTTTTTTAATTTTTTATTAGAATCAATCTTATTTTACATATTAATTCCAGTTCGTTCTCCCTCTGATCCTCCCATGCCCCCCCAACCCCCTCCCTCCTCCCCTTTCCACTCCACATCCATTCCCCAGGGAGAGTGAGGCACAGCATTTGGGGCAGGGCCTAGGCCCTCCCGCTGTGAATTTAGGCTGAAAGAGTGTCCCTGCATTTGTGCACTAGGAATAAATACTGGTTCCACTGCAAGAGGCCAGGCCTCCTAACTGTCACCTAAGTTCTTTAATTCCTAGTAATTTGCTATTGGAAGATTTATAAGCAACAGCATATTTTATCTTTAAGGGAATCAGAACCGGTTTAGTCCAAGCTTATAACTGGGGCAGTGAGGCTCTAAACATGCAGCACTACAATCAGGTAAGTGTCCTTTTACTGATTGTAATGATTCCTCCCTTTTTGTAAAAATATGAAAGTTCTGAAGAAATGATTATTTTTAAAAGATTGCTGAACATTTTTATACTTCCCAAGGTATTAGTAGACTGAGCCCATAGGGCAGCTTTAAAAGATTGAAAATACTTCTTTTCATAACAATTCACATAGAAATATGTATATCTATAGGTTATCCATAGTAATAGAAATGACTTATCTGTAGAAATAGAAAATAGCTTATCTATAGCTATAAAAAAGTATTTCAATAGATTATCATCTGAACTTCACAACAACCTTACAACATATCAGATAGTTATTGATATCATCATCTCAACCATAAGGATGTAAAATTCACAGGATTTCTAGTTTGATAAAGTTATTATGATATTTGATAATACTTTACCAGTAGTCCATTCCTGCCTTGACAAATGTTGAGTGTTCATAAATGCTGTCTGTGTTCTGATGTATATAATCACTGAATTGATTCATAGGTTAGAATTTAAATCTTACAGTTCCTACATTGATATGTTATAAATAAAAACATGCTATACTTCATTTTCTCTTAGTCTACTCCTCCAATATACAACTTGGAGAACATGAAGGTTCAAACTGTCATATGGAGTGGTGTAAACGATATTTTGGCAAATCCCATGGATGTTAAAAACTTGGCAGCTAAAACCAACAATCTAGTTTATCACGAGAAGACTGAAAAGTATAATCATGTGGATTTTCTAATTGGTAAAGATGTTACTGTAAAAGTTTACAAAAATTTAATTTCATTTATCAAAAAAGATCAATCAAGGTGAAGTTTTTGCATGTATTTTTCTGCTTATTTTGAAGGGTACTATGCTTTTTCTTAATGAAAAGCATTTCTTGATTTCCTCTTTCTTTTTCAAAATCTTTGATGTAGCCCTAGCTCTCCTGGACCTTGCTCTGTAGACCAGGCTGGCCTCTAACTATAGAGTCTCCTGCGTCTACCTCCTGAGTTCTGGGATTAAAGGCATGTGTGACCACACACAGGCGTAATCTTTGATTTTTAATCCTTGTATAATTTATATAAATTGTTTACATATGAAAAAGAAAGTTTAATTCTAATAAAATGTTTAATTCATCTTGCAAACTTTTCTAATTTATGCGTATTAATTTATATATCACTGAGAGGTAGACTCTGAGCACAGGGCTAAATTTTATCTGAAATAATATTCCACAATAGTGATGCAGGAAGAGGACACATGATGTGTCTCTGGTGGATGCTGACTATAAACTGCCTCTCATATTTATAGAGATGTCTTTTACTATTTATTATAAAATAAAATTTTGGGATAAACATTAAAGATAAAACCTGAGATAATTACAATCAACCATGACACACACCGTCAAAGTCCATTTCCCTGCTCAAAAAGTCCCTGTAACCACTTTTCACCATATCATCCTCTTCAGAAGGCCTTTCCTTCTCTTGTGCTATGTCTTCAAGGGAACTCCATGACACATTCCAGATAGTTGAATGTGAACACTGCCTCTCAAACCAAATGCTCTATTTCATTGGATATCAGACCACAACATAGATGAAATTCTTATAATATTTTCCCCTTTTGTCTAATAAAGGAAAAGTTCTAACTCTAACATTGTAAAACTATATACAATGAAATCATTATCATGTGTTCTCCAAATAGAAAGAAAAGGTATTGACCTTAACAAAAGGACCTATATACAACAGTAACAATTATCAAGTTAGAAATACATTCACAATGACTAGTCAATTTGTATTTGGCAAATTAGAGAAAATACTCCATCATCTGTCCACTTCTGAAGAGTCCAAAGTTTCATATCTAATTTATTTTCTAATATGATTATGGAAAACTGTAGCAGTTAATATGTAGTCTTAAATCTCATCAGAGACTTGAGAAGAACATAATATTACCTGAGCAAACAGGAATTGCAGAGCAAGCAATTTCCAAAATTATAAGAATGAAAGAAACAGCTGGCTGCTTGGATAGTCACCCTAGGTTCCTATGTGATGTTGGGGAATCCAACTTCAGGCTACAGTCCTAGAATATATGACAGACATTTTGGAGAGGCAGGAAAGTTTGAAGGACTTACCATGTTTGGAAAAGTTTGGCAATCCCTTTTCTTTGTGTCTGTTTGTCCAGTTTGGACAGCATACAGTCAACAGTTGTAGCAAGGAAGTTTCTTTCCCAAATGGCCAGCATTTGCTACAAAAAGTAAAGTCCAATTTTGGAAGTTCTTTGAGGGCCTTCAGCCTTTTTTCAGGTAGATTGGTATTTCCAGGAACAAGCATGTCTCATTGTCAAGAAAAGCCTAATGTTATTAAATCATATTATATTTCATATTCTGTAGGTCTTTGAAGTGTTTGAAGATTACCCACCTATCTAAAATATATCGCTGTGTGACTTTGAAAACACACCTAACGTGACTATAAGTTTGATGTTTAAGGATGATTATTGACCTGTATTTCTTTATTATCCTACATAGCTTTTAAGGACTAAAACTTTATGTTACATAACTAAATGAGCTGCATAGGTACAATATCTTAACCAATAATAGAAACATATGTTCAGTATAATAAAATAACCTTGAATTGGTATCAACATACAAAATATCTTAAATAAGACTAGAAACATAAACTTTAAATTTGTATACATATACCAAAATCCATATTAATGTAAAATTGTTTAAAATTAATAGTTGCTCTAAGATGAAAGTAGATTCAGTAGTCTACCCTTTTCCCTATCATGCCTATATTCCATCTTTTTTTCTTTTCAGAAAATGGACCACTGAATCTAACTTTGAATAGGATTTTCTTGACCACATCCAGTAACTATTTGTAACCAATATCTCTAAACAGTGACGAATGTTTACAAATCCACTGAATGACCAAAAAACATCTGCCCCACCTCTTGGGAATGTGGGCATCATGTGCTTTAGACTTTTTCCTCCTGATATGGGGTGCTGGCATGTTTACAAGACCCTGAGAAAATAGAGATTATGATCAAGTCCTGGGGAATCCACCTGTTATCCAGTCTTGGTATGATGATAAATTGCAAGGCTATCTGAACTCCTGGCTGGAGTAGCCTAAGAGGCTGGACTATATTAAATAACTGTCTTGAATTTCGTTGGAGCAGTTTGTAGTCCAAAGCTGATCTTTGGATGGCATTTTACAGATTAGTGGTGTTACCACAATCACAATGTGATCATCATTGTGAGACACCTTCATCTTTTGGAGACTTCAAAGGTCACTGATAGGATTGTTCATCATTCACTGTAGAAAATGTAAACATTTTAAGTGTCATATGCAGCAGATCTAGGAAAGGTTAAATGACCACAACCTATTAAATATACCCAGGATATATAGTCTTAATTCCTAAATACTTGCTTTAGACTCAAGCCTAAAATCACACACTGAAAGTTACATGAAGCCTAAAGTTAGAATTACTTAGTACTGTATGTGACCATTAATATCAAGACAGAAAATTTAAATTTGAGATAATAGTTATTAATAAAAGCTTTAAAGACAAAATAAATCCTAGGGATATAACATTAATGACAATATAATAGTCCATAGATTTTGCTTTTCTTCTGTCTCATACCAGGTGGCTCTTCTGACATAAGACAGAGATTTTGGATTTTATTTTAACAAACATGGTTGGCTTTAGAGAAGGAGACAGCCATGCTCCAACTCCAAAACCAGCTTTAGTTTTTAATTGAGTTGGGACTATATGAAGTCCAACTGCCTAACATGTCTGTAGAGAACAGGAAAACATTTTGAAAAATTCATGAAATTTTATTGTGTTGGAAGTGTGCTATGCCATTAGGTCAACTTCCTTCTTTATGGGGACTTTTTTTCACCCTTCTTTTTCAGATGCTTCATATGTCCAAAAGTCTTCAGATTCCTTCATTGGATGCTTTTAATCTCTTGGAAAGAACAAAAGAAAACCAGGCTCAGCCTTAATTTGGAGTTTTCCTTTTTGCCCTTTGAATTGCCATGCTGCTTTATGAACTATTGCCTCTCCTAATCAAGAGGTCTCTCATGTTTGATTTGAATAGTTATAATTTGATAGTATCCAAAGCTTTTTCTCCCATAGAAACAGAGGCAAAACCTCTTTCCAATTTGACACATACCCTGGTTTCCATTATGAGGTCAACACATCTGTAAAGTGTACAGGGAGATTTAGTTTAACAGTTTTGGTTTTATATTATCCAGTGTCTCTCCAAAGTTGGTGTACTCTTTTCATTAGCATTTAGAAATTTTAAGGTTAATAAAGCATGACGCATTTGATCTCTAGTGGTCACTAGTACCCTTTCAGTTGATTAATCATTTCTTTTAAAGTGATATTAGATATTTCTATAACTTCTTGTCCTTTAAGTTTTTCTGGTATACCTGTAATATGATTTATCCCAAAATATGTTTTAAAAACTGTTGTATTTTACTAAAGATTTTAATTTGTACAGGTATTCCCATAATGTCCAAAATCCCTAATAAGAATATTACAGGTATACCTCATCATTCTGTAGGGCAAGCAGTTATAGAAAGATCTAAATGAACTCTAAAAATATGCTAAATAAACAGAAAGGGGTAGTAAAGACCGCTAGAAATAGATTTTTTAACCTAATGTTAGACCCAATCTTTCTATCAAACATGGGTAGCTCTTTCTCATTGTGATAACTTGAATATATCTGCAATGAACTATAATCCAAAAATGGAGGGCACACTTGTAATCTGGGTCTTGAGGCAAGATGACAACATGCCTTGAATCCAGACCTCCGGAGGGGAACACAAAAGTTTTTTTAATCAGATATGGAGGCTGGAAGGCACACCCCTAATCTGGGCCACACCTTCTGCTGGAAGCCCATATAAGAACAATGAAAGAAGAAAGAGTTAGTTCTTTGCCTGTTTGCCCTACCTTGTCAATAGATTAATTCCTTCACTGAAATAGAACCTATTTCTTTGGGATTCCAACATATACAGAAGACCAGCTGGGATACCCAGCCTCCTGAGACTGAGCAGCTACTAGATTCTTGGACTTTCCATTCAGAGATAGATAGATAGATAGATAGATAGATAGATAGATAAGATAGATAGATAAATATAGATTCATATTCCTTCCATAAGTTCTGTGACTCTAGAAAACCCTGACTAATACATTCATCTTTGTTTTAGAAATAGATCACAAAATATATGTATATGTATACATATATATGATTCTAAATTGCAAGTTACATCTTTGTCAAGTGAGCCATTCTATATGAAGTTTAATATAAAATAATTCATTTTATTTTATTTTTTATTGACTCTTTGATAATTGCACATAATGTACCCTAATCTCATCTATCACCCAGTCCTCCACATCCACCCACCACCCTTGTAATGTCAAGGGAAAACTACAAAGAAATTTTGAAAATAAGTTAAATATAAAAAGAAGAAATATATTAACACAAACAATACAGTAAAAACAAAAACACAAATACAAATAAGAATATCAATTTCAATTTAAAAAAGCAAGCACATCAAGCAACAACAAAAAAGACCACTTTTCTCCTCCTTCTTTGCCTCTCCATTGTCTTTTCATTATTCTTAGCAGCATTAGGAGCTGCTGTGTATTGTGCATTACAGTGTTCTGTGCAAGCTGCTATTCTTGCAAATGTTCCTTGTGTAATGTGTTGTTAGTCAGGTTCAAGGACTCTGGCTCTCTGCACACCATCAACCCTGGACTCCAATGGAAACTCCACATATATCCCACTGTTGCCCAGACTCATGCAGATCATGTAGCCATAGCTCTGCAGTGATGGGGGAAGTACTTCTGTGTATGTTTATCTTATTGATTGTTTAAAAAAGTTCTGTATGGCCAAATGAAAGAGCAAGTTAGACAGGATTAGGAGTCAAAGAGGATTCTGGGAAATGTAGTAGAGTAATGGTGATCCAGGCTGGAAGTGACATAGCAAGGAGACTCATTTTTAGCAAAGAGAAAGAGGAAGTCCCTTGTCCCCTGGCTTCTTCAGCGGTGCCATGTGAGCCACAGGCAAGAGTGGGCGCCAACGAAAGGCATCCTCTAAAAGATAAGTCTTATAAAATATATAGATTTATGATAATTAAGACTGAGCTAACAGATGAGAATCCTAGTCATTGGCCAAGCAGCTTTGAACCTAATACAAGTCTCTCTGTGCATTAATTTGGGCCCTAACTAGGGCGGGCAGCTGGCATAATGCCCACGCGTGGTGGTGGGGCTCAGGCGGCTTTAGCAGAAAGATTTATCGTAACATTTCAGGACCAGTCCTTTCATTCACTCCAGCAGGTAATAGATGGGGTATTATAGGAGAAACTATGGCCAGCCTGCCAAAGCCACAGATACCCTGCCCTCGGTGCCCAGGCCAGCTTGCATGAACATGTGCATTCTAGGCAGGCATTTCCTCCCTGAGCCAAGCCATCAAGCCTGACTCAATACCCAGATACTACTGACAGTGAGACACCTGACCCAGAGACACCAATGAGGAAAAGACAATGCAATAGACTCAGCCACCTGAGCCAATAGGACCTTGGGAGGGGGTATAAAGGCATATCTAACTACCTTAATAAACGAGTCTGCAGCACGCTCTGCTAATCACTGACTCCCAGTGCCTGAGTTGTTGGTGCTGTGTCTTTTCACCCATTCCCCCAAGGGGTGTCCTAGCAAGGTAACCTGCAAAAGGGTATATGTTCGGGTGTTCCAAATCAGAGCTATGGATATGTACCTGAGTGTCTGCTGAGTTGCTCAGCGCTGGCCTCTGGGATCATTTCCTTCAGGTGATTGGCAGAAACAGCTTTCCTAGGATCATGATGACAGGTAAGGCCATCTTTCTCAAGTGAGAGAGGCCAAAAGAGTTCCAAACAAAAATGACATGCCAGGAAGTATTATCATACTCAATTTCAAACAATAGCACATAAATATAGTAGTAAAACAGCAAAGTACTGACACAAAAGCAGATACATTAATCAATGGAATAGGATTGGAAACCAAGCTATAAGTCCACACAACTTCAGTTGTCTTGATTTCTGACAAAGGTGCCAAAAAATACACATAGAATAAACAAAGTTTTCAGCAAATGGTGCTTAGAAAACTGGATTTCATCAGGTAAAAAGATAAAATTAGATTCTTATCTCTAACTGTACAGAGAAGTCAACTCCAACTGGATCAATGACCCCAACATGAGACCTTATATCTTGAAACCAGTAGAAGGGGAGAAAAAGGCTTCAACTTGTATACACAGGTAAGGATGTTCTGAAAAAGATTCTGGCATCACAAGAAACAAGACAAGCATGGGAAATGACATTCAAGTAGAGGCGAGTGTTTGTACAAGTTTGTGGAGATATTATACACTTACAGCATTTGTGTTACACATTAAAGGCTGTTGATGCCAGAAAGTGAAAGGAACTGAGATTATGTAAAGGAAGATATGAACTGTGAGATACAATTAGGCACAATATCATGTAATATAGGTTTATTTTTGAATTTAATATTAAAGTAAGTGTACATAATAATCACTATATAATATAAAAGTCTGAATACTCATTTAAATAATCTATTATTTAAAATAAAATATTTTATGAGTCACATAAAACACACTTCTATTTTGTATGTAGCCATATGTTGTTTTGACTACATTATTCTTTATTATAACTGGGGGAAATTGCTTTATTTGAAGCAGTTTAGTAAAATCTCATCACCTCCTTTTTTCTAGTATCCAAATACTGAATTTCTATGTGTTACAAGAAAAGCAGAATTATCTAGTTTATAATTTTGGATATTTAGGAATATGGCAAAGATGATGTCTCAGCACTGGAGAGGGCATCATTACAATGGTGTGCTAGAAACTCAGACATCATTTGGTGAAACGGGAAGCAAGAGCATGCAGATTCAATTACCTGAAACATCTGGAACTCCAGTTTTAACACCATCTAACAACCTCTTTTGGAATCAGGCATACATGTGGTGCTGCGACATAACATACACCTAAAAAAAAAAATGCCAATTGTCTCCGGTGAACATTCCTTGGTTGACTTTCCCATTGCTAGAGCACCATGTCAATAAATAGAAGCATAGAACTCCTAATAAATAAGAAATTTATGTAAGAGAATATGATTGTGAATTATGTAATAAATTGTGTTGTACTGAAGCTATCTTTTATTTAACATTTTCGAAATATTTAAGAATGAGTTCAAATAACTTTTAAATAGATATTTAAAAAAAACTTGTAAGCTTGCAAATGATACCTTCTGTGGGGAAGAAAAGATGTTTACGTTATTTGTCTAAAACACTCACATCCTAGCCGGGTGGTAGTAGCACATACCTTTAATCCCAGAACCTTGGAGGCAGAGGCAGGAGGATCTCTGGGAGTTCCAGGACAGGCTCCAAAGCTACACAGAGAAATCCTGTCTTGCAAATAAATAAATAAATAAATAAATAAAACACATCCTTTGCTAACATCACTACACAAAGTTAATGATGGTGTCTTAATGCAGATAGACATCAATACCTTTTATGTACTAAGATACTGTTTCCTGAGTTGAGGGTGTAAAGAAAATAAGCAGAATAAGATTACTGGATAGTTTCAGAGCAATAGTAAGAAGTTACAAGTAAGGAAAGCAAGCAGAAGAGTTGATCAATAATAACAAGGAGAGGATGTGAAGTGGCTCTGGTTACAGATAAAATGAAAAGTGGTAAAGGAACTTCATCAGATACAAAACAAACCTGGCACTCACAGGATGAATATGTGTGACTTCACTACACGCCAGCCTGTGTCCCTTGGGAACACCTATGAAAGATGGGGGCCGGGGGTGGGTGGGTGGTCACAGGCAGCCAACTCTCAATGGCTTAGCTTGGAACTCTCCCTCGTAGGCTAGACTAGCTGGCTAGGAAGACAGATACAGCTTTCTCTTTTTCCATTTTACCACTACTGAGAATCTGCAGGTTCCAT